GAGCCCCTACATTCTATACTGATGCAATTAAATTGGGAAAGGCAGGCTACAAATCAGAAGATTTAAGCAAAGTGGAACAAAACTCTTATGATTCTGTTCAAAAGTCAGAATTATATGCTATTCTCATGGTACTAAGGAATTTTAAAGAACATCTCAATATAGTAACCAACTCACAATATGCCAAAAGAGTTGTTTTACATATTGAAACTGCTGAGTTTACACCAGACGATACCTTTCTTTACATGATTTTGACTTTGAGTCTCTATCAGTTTTCTGCTGTGAACCATGAGCCTAATAATGGCCTTTGAAGTCTCCAAAAGGAGGGTGGAGCCCCACAAGGATGATTCCTGACTAAGCTGAAAAACATAACCTAAAGATCAGCTTTGGGCTATAAACTGCTCAGAACAATTTCGAGGTGGCTAGCTGAGATGATCCAGCCTAACAGACTACTCTAGCCAGAGACAAACCCTGCGCTTTCCCATTATGCAGAGACTGGACAACAAATGAAACAGTCTCCTCTCCCAGGACTTGACAATTAACCCAATTTTTTCTTTTCAGGATCCCTTAAAAATGCCATCACCCCCAGACAACAGGAAGTAAGTTTAAGAACACAGCACCCGCATTCCCAAGAGGTGGGGTGGGTGAGTTTTGGTCTTTCATTGGGTTATAGATATTTGTCATTGTTTAGGGGGATTGGTTACAAGTTGTGTAAAAAGCTAAACAAAGGAAATTCAATTCAAGGTTCTTGTTTTGAAAAGAAAAATGGGGGATATGGTAGGACAAAAGGGTAGGTAGATTCAACTCTGAAAAGAAAAAAGGGAGGCTATAGATATGATAAGATAAAAAGGGGGGAATTATTGACTCTACTTTTAAAAAGCAACTACTAGGTTTAAATGTTTTACAATGGATTAGATACAAATCTGAGATTAATTTTGCTAAAACATGTTGTACATATACATGACTACTCTTGTTCAAGGTATTGTATCTATACAACTCATTTAACAATGTGATGCTAATTTCTAGTCCTTGAAGATTATTACCAACTGTTTAGGATAATGAGGAAATGCAGGTTAGTAGTTAATCACCTATTATTATAATTGGATTTGTAGTCACATTAGGTATGTTTTCAAGGTCAAACAGAGACATATTTCAAATAGACAGGCCATCTTCAAACACTTCACACAATATGACATTTAAGATATTTTAATAACATAGGCTCTTTTTATGACAATGAGACATGTCTTCTCCTGGCAGCACCAATCTACTTCAGAGAAGATAATGGGTATCGAAGAAACTCCATTTCTTTTGTTTACTTTCTTTGTGGCAAAAGTAAGCCACTGGGAAAGAAAATGCCCCTGCCTCAACTACTGACAGTATGCTGTTCTAATTGGAGAGGCAGGACACAAAAGAAAGTGACTGTCAAACATTGTCAAAACAAGGAGGGACAGCCCTTCAGAATATCCTGCGTCACAGAAAAGTCTGTCAGATATGCTTGGCCTGTAGGCCGAAGATGGATGCCCCAATGTTGCAGAGGAACTTTGGGACACTGTCCAGGCAGCCAGCTGTTTCTGTCATTTCTCACATTTTTTGGAAGTTGCTTGCTCATACTTCTTGTTTACTCAGTTAATATTATTTCCTTCTTGGGTCTCCGAGGAGGTTAAAGAGTATATAGCTATAGTTATAGCTTTCCTTGTTTACCAGACACAGAAAGCAAGTTATGATAGAAAGTAAATTAGGTACAAGACTTTGGACTCATAAAATAGGATAGATATGGAATATTTTCTCTGAATTTGTCAAATGCAAATGGACTAGACATTGTTGATGTATTTATTGCCTGTATATTATATATAGTTATTGTACTTATTGTATATAAGTTTTTCTTATATTAGTTTAGCCTTATTTTTTATTTTAGACAAAAAAAGGAGAAATAATGTGGTATATTATTTGTGTTTTAATGAATAAGGCTTGCCTGAAGATGAGAGAGCAAAGCCCACACAACAGTGATCCCAGCACTTGGGGTCACATGCCTTTAATCCCAGCACTAGGAAAGTGGAGACAGGAACATTATGACTGGGCAGAGAGAGGAATATAAGGGGGGATAGATAGGAACTTGGTAGTGTGTGGAGTGTGGGGTGTGGAGTCTTCAGGATTTGTGGAGACAGAATCTTGCTCACTTTTGGTCTGAAGTAGAGGTAAGAGTCAGTGGCTGGCTGCTTTGCTTTTATGATCTTCAGGTTGAACCCCAATATCTGTCTCTGTGTCAAGTGCTTTATCCACTAATGCTTCCTGGTTCCATTATTAAAACACAATATTCTATTGAATATACAATAATGTTCTAAACTAACCTCTTAATTTGTATTTTGTGTGTGGGTAATGTAGAGTATGGGGCATGCACATGCCACAATACGCATGTGGACATCAGATGGTCACTTTATGGAATCTGCTCTCTCCTCTCGCTTTAGTGTGTTCCAGTGACCAAACTCGGGTCATCAGGCTTGTTTGGCAAGTGTCTTTGCCAGTTTTGTTTCTTTTCGTGTTATAAGTGAAAGTGGAAAGATTATTGTGAATTATTGTGATCTTTCTGATTATTTGTTTGAGATAAATTCCAGGGCTGAGGAAGTCTCTCGTTTGATAAAGCGCTTGCCTTGCAAGCATTAGGCCTTGCAAGCTGGCTCTCCAGAACTCATGAAAGCTAGGCACCAGAGTGCACCTATGTAATCTCGGAGCTGAGGAGGGGGCAGGTAGTAAGGATGATCCGGTGAATACTTGGAGCTCATTGATCAAGTAACCAGATCAATGAGACATCCAGTCTCAAAAATAAGGTTGTGAGCGACCAAGAGAGATCCCCATTGTCAGCCTCTGGCTGACACACACACACACACACACACACACACACACACACACACACACGTAAAAGTAAGGAAAGTTTGTAAACATGGCCATGAGAATCAGAGAGAAGGAACGGACCTTGGAAAGTCTTTCAAAATGGTCCTGTTGAAACGTGTGTCTAATGCTCTCTGAAAAGCGTGTGAAAATAGAGGCAAAGGTTCCCCACAGCATTGTGACCCTTGTGTCAGTGAAGCAGTTTATGTCTTTAACATAGAAATGTAGCCCACAAATTCACTAGAAAAAGATAAATACCTACTATCAGGAACTTTGGGATGAAGATGACAGAAAACTCCATTCAGATCAGACATGGAGCCTAGAGTTGTATGGTATGGGCAAGTCACTGGGACTGATGTGTAGATATGTCTCAGTTAAAGAACACTGGCTGCTCTTTCAGAAGACTGGGGTTGATTCCCAGCATGGCAGCTCACAACCATCAAGGGCATCAGGTGCCCATATGCCCTTTCTTAAATTGAGAAATGCTACACATCCACCACTGTGACCCACTGTGCTCTACAAACATACACACAGACAAGACACCACCTCCCAATAGTAATACACTAAATACTGAGCCTTCAGCAAACGAACTTTTGAGGAACACACTTGCATATGGTTGGATATGCAAGCTATCACAATGAGCAAAATGCGGGGTGATAAATGTGGGAAACCACGAGCATCACTGGCGAGCAAGAAAATGCACATTAAAACGATGCAGAAGTATCTTTTTTATATCTACTTTCTACAAAGATGTTTGGTAATAATATCATGTGTTGACAAGCATGTAAAACATTGCTAGAGCAGCACACACTCATTTGACCAGTGCGGAGACTTGATTTATTTGGGAAGGTAAATATTCATACAACTTGTGATGTTCCAAATATAGTAATGTGAACATATGAACAAGAGTATTTAGAGGCTGGATTTATTTATCCCTTTCCCACAGGCTGGAAACAACCAAGATGTCTCAAGAAAAATGAGTAGCTAGATTTTTGCACAGTCACACTGTATAATACTATGCAGCAGGGCAAGAAAGAATGAGTTTTAGTAATGTTATACTGAATGAAGCAGAAAAGCGGTAAAAATTACATTATGCTTTTACACATCCTGACATAAGTTCTGAGTTTGTTTTCAGATACATCAAATACAAGCAAATTAAACAATATGCTATTTAGGGATTATAAGTACTTACTCTTTTTAATGTATGCATTAATAATTTGTTGCGGGTTTTTTTGGCAAATGACAGGCTAATTCTTGTACTATATTTGCATGATTTTGATACTGACATAATCTCTTTGTAAAAAAATTTGTCTGTTGTAAGGAAAGTCGTAAAAGCTTGGAAGATTCACCTTTGAGAAGTTTATCTTAAGAGATTCCAATTACAGACTTTGGGCTCAGACAATGACCCTGGATTTTAAGCACAGCCTTACCTTTTCCCTAACTGCTTTAACTGAGATTCTCTTTCTCAATGTGTAGAACTGAGGGTAAGAGAACCCACCTCACTGAGTAGCCGTAAGTCATCTTACACACAGCACTCGATACCTAGCAAGCTTGTGTTCAACGGAGCCCTTACTACATTGTATGTACTCCGGAGGTTACCATTTTTGGTGTCCTATTAGCTCTTAGTGACTGCTTCCTAGGCCGGTGATATACAAAGGCAAACAACAACAAAAGCGCTACGAATAGATACGATAGCTTAATGGTGGGGTGCTTATCTAGCACCTCTTAGTTCCTAAATTCAATTCCTTGCACCAAGGGGGAAAAGAAAGTTAATGTTGGTGGGGAATGGAAGCTATCTGAAAGAGGCACACCACACCACGCCTTCTGACAGCACTTTTCTGGGCGTTGGGAGCCCAACAACAGGAGGAAACCCAGACGCCGGGCCAGGAAAGAGGAAGGCAACTCCTCCTGGTCGCAGGGCGGGATCACCGCTCGCTATTCCCATAGCAACCGGACTGGCTTGCGTCTGTACCGCAGTCCCGATCAGCGCGCAGACTCCCAAGAGGCCGCTTCCAGCCGTCACTTCCCGGCGGCTCGCTGTAGCAGTTTGTGATTGGTCCAAGCAGCTGGTGGGCGGGCTTACGGAGATCAAACTCAAGCACGCCTCCCTGAACGGAAGTCGATCTCTCTCGCCCTGGAAGTGAAACGCTGTAGTTTGGCAGTCGAGGTTTCGGCAGGTTGGGGGATTGTGGTGAAGATGCCGGGTGCCGCGGTGAAGGGCTCGGAGTTGTCCGGGAGGATAGAGGGCTTCGTGGAGACTCTGAAGCGAGGCGGTGGGCAGCGCAGCTCGGAGGACATGGCTCGGGAGACCCTGGGGCTGCTGCGCCGGCTCATCACGGACCACCGCTGGAGCAACGCGGGTGCGGCAGACCCAGCCTCCCTCTGCTCTGCCTCTTTCCCCTTCTGAAGCTGAGACTCTCCCGGTCTCCCGGTTCGCCTGCCCCGCTCATCCTGTCCCTCTTGGTTTGCAGGGGAACTGATGCAGTTGATCCGCAGAGAAGGCAAGAGGATGACGGCCGCGCAGCCCTCCGAGACCACCGTGGGTAACATGGTGAGGAGAGTTCTCAAGATCATCCGGGAGGAGTATGGCAGGTCAGGTTCAGGCCGGGGTGGGGTCTGGGTGGGATCTAGGGCTTTTTATTTTTTTAAAAACACCATGCCCTCTGGAGCTTCTGTTGGGGCTGCTCCGGTTGCCCCCCCCCCCCCCATAACCCTTCCCCACACCCACACCTTTGGGTCTTGTTGCCTCCTTAGGCTGCACGGGCGCACTGACGAGAGCGATCAGCAGGAGTCCCTGCACAAACTTTTGACATCCGGTGGCCTGAGCGAAGATTTCAGCTTCCATTATGCCCCACTAAAGTCCAACATCATTGAGGCCATTAATGAGCTGCTAGTGGAGCTGGGTAAGAGATCACCAAGAGGACAAGATAAGTCGCAGGTAGATAAGGAAACAAGCCCCCAGAAATAGTCCATTGACAGAGTCGGGCGAGATTACCAGTCCTCTGGTTTCCAGAGTTTGTTCTCCATCTGGTAGGAATGGATGGGAAACACCAGAACCATAGTAACTCCATCTTTCAGGACAGGCCCACTCTTTAAAAGTTGATTGTGATGGAGATTTCTATTAGGGCAGGTCATTTTTAATTTTAAAGCAAATGAACTTGCTGGGGATGTAGGTCAGTGGAAGAGTATCATACATGAAGCCCTTGGTTTAATTCCCAGCGTTTCAAAAACAGAAGGTGAAGTCCTCAGTAAACTTCACCCTGTCTTTACAAAAAAAAAAAAATCTTATTATTGTGTTTATGTGCTTCAATGGGAAGGGAGCGCATGGGTGCCATGGCTCATGTGGAGGTCAGAGGACAACTCTGTAGTTCTCTCCACCCATCTTTATGTGGAGTCTAGGGATGGAACTCAGGTTTCCAGGGTTGACCAGCAAGCACATTTACCCACTGAGCCATCTTACCCACCCCTCCGTGAATTTACACACACACCTCACCTCCATCCTTACTTGCAGATTGTTGTTATAGTCAATTCTTCAAAGATTAATAAACTAGGGGCTGGAAAGATGGCTCATGTAGAATCCCCAGGTTCAATTCCCAGCATCCACACAGTGGCTAACAGCCACCTGTAACTCCTGTTCCAGAGGCTCTAATGCCCTCTTTTGATCTCTGCAAGGACAGCACACACAAGGCAAACAGACATACATACAGGCAGAACATTCAGGCAATAAAAATAACTAAAGATAAAAAATTGTTAAAGGAGGATTTACAAATAAAATAAATTAAGTAGTATCTGTGCCCCAAACTTCCACTCTGAGGCTCCTCTGTTTTCTTTTGCTCCCACCCTCCTAATGGAGGTGCTGTGGCCACCTTTTGGAAGAAGAGTTCTGTTAAGGGCAGATCTGTTTACTCTCCAGGTAGCACTTTAGGATTTCCCAGATGGCCGTTTCTGGCCTTACCTTATCTAGAGCAGCTGCAGGGAGCTGGTGTAGACAGCAAGGTGTGCGGATGAGTAGGAGCACCGCTGGGAGACAGGGCAGGCTGAGGAGTGGAGGTAGAGGACCCTGCAGGAGTGCGGATTCTGAAAGGTTGGGATGCTCCAGTTTGAGCCTGTGAACCCTGGTGACCAGGTCTGCCGGGTGGGCAGTAGATAAGAAGGGCAGGCGCCCTTTCTGAAATTACCATGCCTATCTGGGATGAAGCAGGGCCGTTTCCATCCCTTTGCAAACTGTTCTTGCAGAAGGCACAACGGAGAACATTGCGGCCCAGGCTCTGGAGCACATCCACTCCAATGAGGTGATCATGACCATCGGCTATTCCAGAACAGTGGAGGCCTTCCTTAAAGAGGCAGCCCGGAAGAGGAAGTTCCATGTCATCGTTGCAGAGTGTTCTCCTTTCTGTCAGGTAAGAGGGGTTACTGGAGTTGCTTAGAAAAGTTGAAGAGGAGCGGGCGGTTGTGACGCATTTCTTTAATCCCAGCACTTGGGAAGCAGAGTCAGGTGGATCTCTGTGAGTTTGAAGCCACTCTGATCTATAAGAGCTAGTTCCAGAACAGGCTCCAAAGCCACAAAGAAACCTTGTCTTGAAAAACCAAAAAAGAAAAGAAAAGAAAAGAAAGAGTGAAGAGGAGCCAGGCGGTATAGTGCACTCGGTAGGCAGAAGCTGGCAGATCTCTGAGTTTGAGGGCAGCCTGGTCTACAGGAGGAGTTTCAGGACAGGCTCCAAAGCTACAGAGAAACCCTGTCTCAAACCCGACTCCCCCCCCCCCCAAAAAAAAAGAAAGAAGAAAAAAAGAAAGGTAAAGAGGGAATAAAGAATAAAGGAGGGGTGGGGTGAGTCTGAGCCAACTGTGAATTGATTAACATAATCTCAATTCATGAAGAAAGTAAATCATAGCTGGGCAGTGGTGGCGCATGCCATTAATCCCAGTACTCGGGAGACAGAGGCATCTATGTGAGTTCAAGGTCAGCCTGGTCTACAGAACAAGTTCCAGGACAGCCAGAGCTACACAGAGAGACCCTGTCTCAAAAAACAAATACAGAAAAAGAAAGTAAATCATTCCAGGTTCAGTGTTGCACACCTTTATCCTAGCCCTCAGGAGGCAGAAGCAAATGGATCTCTGTGAGTTTAAGGACAGCCTGGTCTACAGAGTGAGTTCTTCCAGGACAGCCAGGGCTACATAAAGACCCTGTCTCAAAAGAAAAAAAAAAAAGAAGAAAGAAAAAGTAAATCAGTTGTAGTAGCAAGGTCTTTAGTCCCAGCACTGGGGAGACAGAGGCAGGTGACTGTCTGTGACTGTGAGGCCAACTTAGTCTGGTCTAATTAATGAATTCTAGGCCAGCCAAGAGCTACATAGTGAGAACCTGTCTCTAAACAAATAAAAACCACCAAAAACCAAGGGATTATTAAGGATTTTCAAGTTGCTATAGATATTTTTAAGTATTAGTTTAAGAAAACCTAGTGTTGCTGAGTCTCCTAAGAGTCAGTAGGGCATTTATGACCTTGGGGATGGCTGGTGTTTGATTTGATCTCACTCAATCCTTAAGTTAATAGGTCTCAAGAAAGAAATGCACAAGGATGTCCAGTGTTGTAAAACAAGTCGGGGGCCCTCTTGCCAGCTTGGTTGTGTAAGCAGTTGTGTTTCCAGTTTTGCAGCTGTTCTGTTTATTAGCGTCCCTATGGCTTACCAGGCTGTGCACACCACAGATAGATCACAGAGTCTTCCAGTTCCGGTTACATTTGAGCGCTCTCCTCACTTCCTACTCTCTCCTAGTATCAGCCTCTCCCTCCTGTTTCAGGGTCATGAAATGGCCATCAATTTGTCCAAAGAAAACATTGAGACAACTGTCATGACCGATGCTGCCATTTTTGCAGTTATGTCAAGAGTCAACAAGGTGAGCGGCACTGGAGTCACTGAGATGAATTCAGGAAGTTCTGCTTCATAGAGTACTGATTTCTTCTTCTTGTCTTGTGAGGTCCACGCGAGAGGAGGTTTCTAGCACTGCTTGAAAGTGTGCACTTAGGTGCTTATTACTGTCAGCTGGACTTGTTCGCTCTCACCCACGTCACTGGTCCTCGATTAGAATAGCCTCTAAGTATGGCTAAGGCTTTGAGAAGAATGGAGTAGAACTGAGCTATGAGTGTTAGCTGGGGGGCTTCGCTGTGGGTTCCCGCTTAGGCTCAAAGAGTGTGGCAAGGGTGGGTGGGAAATGACCAGGCTCTTGGTTTCTGGGAGGTGCTCCAAAGATTTCCAAGAAAGATGGGGAAAGAACCGTAGGTGTTACAGCTTCCCATCCCATGCCATGTTTGGCAAAACTAGAACTTGGTAGTCTTGGCTTGAGCCTAGGAGGCTGCTTTCCCTCTGCGGCCTGTGAGCCCTCCAGATGCTAAGGTGGAGGCCTGAATGCAGCCAAAGGGCCTGTTAGGACTCTCCTTCAGCGTGGCTCATGTTTCCTCTCCTCCCAAAGGTGATCATTGGTACAAAGACTATCCTGGCAAACGGTTCCCTCAGGGCTGTGGCGGGAACTCACACTCTGGCACTGGCAGCAAAACACCACTCCACCCCACTCATCGTGTGCGCGCCCATGTTCAAGCTCTCTCCACAGGTACGCCGTTTGTCTCTAGCTGGTCATCAACCTATCATAACCTATTGCCAATAATGTTAGGATAACACGGGACAGAGAAAGGCCCTTATGTCCAGTTACCACTCACTACATTCTGTTGCCTCCAAACACTTCTGAAAATGCCAGGTACGTTGAAACTAGGATCATAGAATCCATTCAGCACCGTCCTCTGCAGCCTGAATATCAGCAGTAGTTAAATGAAGAGTCATTTGATAGTGACAGAAACTGTTTGCTTGGGAGCAACCTACTTAGAGGTCAGCATGAAAACATACCACAGTTTAATTTACCATTTATTTAGATTTACATTTTTAAAATTTCTAAGTGTATGAGGTTTTTGCATGCATGTATTTCTGCGCACCACATGCATGTCTATTCCCCGGGGAGATCAGAAAAGGGCCTCGGATTCCCTGGAATGGGAATTAGGATGATTTTGAACTGCGTGTGGGTGCTGGGAATCAAACCCAGGTTCTCTGCAAGAATAATAAGTGCTCTTAACCACTGGGCCATCTCTCCAGACCCCAACTAACCATGTATGTATCGGTAGGTATCTGAGTTAGTTCTATCTTTTAGCTTCTACAAATAGTGCTAAGCAGTTAGATATAAAATTTCTGTGGGCCATGCATTTCTCTACGTCTTGTCTACATTTCTCTGAGTGGAATTGCTGAATCTCTTTTAAAAAAATATTTGTGTAGCTGGGCAATGATGGCGCACTCCTTTAATCCGAGCTCTTGGAAAGCAAATGCAGGTAGATTTCTCTGAGTTTGAGGCCAGCCTGGTCTACAAAGCAAATTCCAGGACAGCCAGGTTATATAGAGAAACCCTGGCTCAAAAAAACAAAACAAACAAAATTTTTATTTTTCCTAGTTCCCCAGGGAAGAAGATTCATTTCACAAGTTTGTGGCTCCTGAAGAAGTCCTTCCTTTCACAGAAGGTATGGGTGTGTGTGTGTGTGTGTGTGTGTGTGTATGAGAGAGAGAGAGAGTGTGTGTGTTTTGGTTGGTTGTGTGGACCATCTTAAGTTGCTGTAAGTAATCATTTTTGATGAACTGGCTGCCTAAAGCAGCAAGATCTGAAATATTCATGCTTGCCAACTCACCTCTAGCCTATATGCCCGTTTGTGGGGAGGGGGCCTGCGTCTCTGACCACTCTGCTCAGTGAGCCCACAGCCTTGTCAGCAGGCCAGCCGGTTGTGTACATCCTGTGAGAGCAGAATACTGCCTGTTGTCCTGGCCCTTCTTGGAAATTGGATAATTTCATCCTTTCATTTAAACAGTTTTTAAAGCTGGATGTGGTGGCACTTAAAATCTCAGCACTTGGGGGCGTGGTGCTGAGGCAGGAGGATCACCACAAATTCAAGACCATCCTAGTCTTATCTATATAGTGAGACCAGGGCCAACAAGAGATACAGGATGAGATACTATGTCAAAAAACTAAGGAAAAGAAAAGAAATGCCTGTCATGTAGTCTCCATCTAATTCCAGGAAATACAGTAAGGAGACGCTGGAGCCCTGTTTCCACAGGCTGTCCTTCCACTGTAGCTGATAGCTGACAGCAAGGAAATGTTGGGTCCCAGCATGCTTTAGGAAGGAAACACGATGAAGATAGGACTATACCTGAGACTAGTGAAGGATTTCAATGAGGGGACATTGCTGGAGTCCTCAATGAATGGACACTATCCTGTGAAGACTTGGGAAGCTTTCCAGGGATGGTACAGGGCATGAGATCCATGTGTGTTTAGCCTGTTGGAGATGACTGGGTTGTTGTCAGCCTGAGAGAGTCGTTCAAATTATAGTTAGTGTGGTTGGTGGAGAAAGACTGGGCCTTTAAGGTTGTAATCTTGAATTTAAAAAAAAAAAATTATATATGGGTGTTTTGCCTGCGTGTATATCTGTGCACTACATGAAGTCTGGTGCCCTCAGAGCCGGAAAAGGACATTGGATCCCTTGGAACTGGAGTTACAAGTGGTTGTGAGCTGCCATGTGGTGGCAGAGATCAACCCCAGGTCCTCTGGAAGAGCAGCTAGTGCCCTTAACCAATGAGCCATTGCTCCAGTCCCAAGTCTGAAATCTATTTCAAGTGCTATGAAAAGTCAGCCGAGAGCTTGGTTTTACTGCTGTTGGAATTTGTTTTGGTTTGAGACAGCAGCCCTGGCTGTGCTCACACTTGCAGTCCACCTGACTCAGCCATTGGAAAATGTTAAACATGAGAATCTGGGGTGGGAGTCGTCTCGCCCAGTTTGATTTTGCCACAGCTTTCTAGCATGCCAGCATTATTGAACTTAGACCTGTGCTACGTAGAGTAGGGGCCTCAGTTTCATCTCTAGCATGTGATTGTCTTGCAGGGGACATTCTGGAGAAGGTCAGCGTTCACTGTCCTGTGTTTGACTACGTGCCCCCTGAGCTCATTACTCTCTTTATCTCCAACATTGGAGGAAACGCACCCTCCTACATCTACCGGCTGATGAGCGAGCTCTACCACCCTGATGACCATATCCTCTGACACCGCCTGTCCTAAGCGGAACCAGCTTAGACCCAGAGAGGAGCTGGAGACACAGCAGTGCTGCTGCAGTGAGGAGTGGAGTCAGCCTGAAAACCTCAGTGTTCCCTGCCTTCCTACTCATCCCCAGTGACGCATGTGTCCAAGACTGTTCTTACCTGAACAGCGGGGCTTACCTGTTGACTCTGGGGCCACTTTGTGACCACGCTGTTTGTTTCAGGAACTCCAACCTTCTGGGTCTGTGGTGTGTTACACATACCATGACTTTGCTGGGTTGCTGTTTGCTCAGAAATGCCTTCCGGACCTTTTCCTAGGCTGTGCCAATAAAAGCTACTGGAAACTCCCGGAGTTCGTTTATTGTCCAGAGTTCTGAATGAACTGAAAGAGCAGTGGCGCAGCCCTTTCTGTGTGAGAGAAGGCTGTGATTAGAGGGGAGCCTCAAACAGAAGTATAAAGAGAAGGGCTCCGTTTCCTTATAGCACACTGGAAAGGGCTCCGACCTTTTAGTAATCTACAGTAATGGCTTCAAGACTTTAGCATCTTGGAGCTTAAAATACACCATCTTGGGACCCACTTCTAGATGGCTGCATCAGAATTTGAGAGGAAGGGAAGCAGTTCAAAGCTTCCCTGTAAGAAGAGGAAGAGGGCTCATTAATCTGGGAGGCAGCTTGGAGCCTACACTTGCAGAATTACTTGAAGAAACATGGGGACTCAAGAACCATTAGCCTAGTGCTGTAACGTCACAGCCATGTTAGGCGTGGCAGGAAGGTAGAGTGCAGTGCTGTGATGTCACAGCCCGTGTTCAGTGTGGCAGGAAGAACAGTGCAGTGCTGTGACATCACAGCCGTGTTCAGCGTGGCAGGAAGGAGACCAGTGCTGTGACGT